AACCCTGACAGTAAGGAGGCTTTAACATTTTGCGTGGCAGAGAACTTGACTGAACTCATTGTAGTTCAGTTCTTCAGAAATGATGCAACATTTCACTTAATTCTTATGGAAGAATTTTACTTACCAAACTACAGAGCTCTATTATTATGAAATGCTGTAATTAATTTTTAAAAATGAAACTTCTAAATTTATAAAGGAAATTTAAATTAATTATAGATATGATAAATGATTTTTTAAAAATAAACTTCCAGAAATACAGAAACATAAAATGAAAAGTGAGAGCCTCTCAATCCCACAAGATATACATTTAAGAGATTTGAAAACATGTACATATACTCATCATGAGTGTTCACAGCAGCATTATTCATATTAGTCAAAAATTAGAAACAAAGCAAATGTTCACCAACTAATTCATGGATAAACAAAATACGGTATATTCATACAATAGATTCACCCATTAAAAAAGGAAAAAAATATGATATATACTACAATATGGATGAAATTGGAAAAGACTGCATTAAGCAAATGGAGATACCTAAGGTTAGATAATGTATGAGCCTATTTATATACAATGACCAGAATAGAAAAATCCATAGAGGCAGCAAATTGACTAGTGGTTGATAGGATAGGATGGTAGCAGGGAATAAGAAGTGATTCCTAATGAGTACACAGTTTCTTGCTGAGGTTATTGAATGTTCTGGAATTATATTGAAAAGGATTACACAATATGGTGAATAGACTTAAAGCTACTGAATTGTTTTTCATTAATTTTGAGGTACATCAACATAATAATTGTTTAAACTTAAAAACAGTGAGTCTGTTTACCTTTTCTTATGTAACTAGAATTTAGAGACTGTTATATGCCAGAGCATTTGTAAATGTTTCACTGAAATGATACATTTAACACTCAAAATGATCGTATATTAGGCATCTTTAATGCATAAGAAACCTGAGGCACTGGGAGGGGGTTAAACAATTTGCTCAGAGTCTGCTTATTTTGTTTTGTAAATGACTAAGCTGAGTTTATGAAATCAGGCTGTCTGACTTTAAAACTCAGGTCACGTGCTAACCTACCAGGAGTAACTACCATGAACAGTTGGGAGAATATAATTCTAAATAATTTTCACTGAGGAAGTATGCTATAGTTTGGTGTCCCCAAAAGATCATGTGTGGGACAATGCAAGAAGGTTCAGAAGAGAAATGATTAGATTATGAGAGCTTTGAACTAATGGAGAGATTAATCCATTGATGTGCATTAACTGGATGTTAAGTGTAGGTAGGTAGTGTGTGGCTGGCTAGAAGAGGTACGTCACTGGGCATGTGCCTTTGGTGTTTATATTTTATCCATGAAGAGATCTCCCCCCCACCTTCCATGTGTGTGTGTGTATGTGTAAGTGTATGTGTTTCTGTCTCTTCATCCTGCTTTCCAGGTCCTGAGTTACTTTTTTCCAGAGTCATTCTGCCTTGATGTTTTGCCTCACTTTGGGCCCAGAGATATGAAGGGGGCTGTCTATGGACCAAGGCCACTGAAACCATGAGCCTCAAATAAGCTTTCCCTCCTCTATGTTCTTCTTGTCAGATCTTTTGGCCACAGTGATGACAAAGCTGACTAAAACAGAGTACATCTCATTTAAATTTGGGCTGTGACAGTTTGAGCAGAGCTGAGTAGTGATCCAGCAAAACAAACTATTATCTGGTCCTGTACAGAAAAATTTCACACTTGCACTATACTGTACATGTTACTACAAAACTTCCTTTTATCATTTCATGCTATATTGTGTTGAACCTTTTAGATTTCCTTATTTCCTTTAAATGGCTGCAAAATAAAAATGTACCCACAGTTATTAAATCATTTGCAATGAACAGAAAGTTTATGTTCCCCCCACAAATTCTTACATTGAAATCCTAACCTGCCAAGGGAGTGGTATTAGAATGTGGGACTTTTACGTGGTGATCAGGTCATAAGAATGGAGCCCTCATGAATGGGAATAGTGCCTTTTAAAAGAGGTCCTAGGGTGCTCATTTGCCCCTACCACCACCATATGAAATCATAACAAAACAATGGTCATCTATGAACTAGGAAACAGGTCCCCACTGGACACAGGCTCAGCCATTGCGCTTTGATCTGAGACTCAGCAGTCTCCAAAACGGGGGGAAAAAATCTCTTGTTTTTAATGCTATATAATGATATTACATAGTATAGTCACCAAGCTTATGTCATTTTGTTGTAGCAGCCTAAAATGAGTAAGACCACTTCTCTATGGAAACACCATGACTAAGAAAAATACCATGTCATTTAACAAACTACCCTAAAAAAGTTGAATTAATTTATTCACTCTCTAACATGACCTACATTTTGGTGGTCTAGATATCTAGACTTTGAGAAGCGTTATGACTTTCTCACCTGAATAAAGCTTTCTTCTTTGGCTATTCAGTAGCCCTCCAACATTGATGCCGAGTCCTGAGCTGCAGAGTCAGGTCAGTGTGATGCAATCACATAGAGGAAACTGTCCCTCACTCTTCTCAGCTACCTTATCCTTTCCAAGCTTGTATCTTTTACATGGAAACTTATGATCTCTTACAAGTAGTTGTAAGAGTGAAAGAAAAGCTACTATCGGTTGTTGTCCTTCTATAGTGAATACTGTGGTGTGCCTTTTGTGACTGAGGCATTCATTCTCCTCCTGTTGGTAGTTCATGACTTAAGAGTTGATTCTTTGGGAACTGCCTTCAGCTCAATGAAGACAACTTTATTATGGCCTTCTACTAGAGGCAGATCACAAGCAATAACTGGTGAATGCAAAAATAGGAAAGGCCGATGTCCTAGGCTCAACGACAATGATGGAGGGCCATCCAGCTGCAGAGTTCTCTGTGAAGTAAGGTCTGTACTGACCTTAATTCAACAAGCAAGACTTTCTTGGTCCAAGTCTTATCTCAACTCACAAAGGTGATGCACAAATAACACTACCCCATAAAATTTCCTGTGGAAAATGGTCCCTTTCTAATTCATGTGATAGTTGACTTTATGTCTGAGTTTAGGTGAAGAAAATGACTATATGTGGCTTAGAGCCTTCCCATTTGTAGGGTAAACACACAAGATTCATGCCTCAAATTATTGTTTTTTAGAGAAAAGTCTGAGCAGTCATCAGTCTCTTTTCCAAGTAATGGGGTTCTGAACTGTGATAAAGATGTTTATGGGAATCTTCTCTGAGGTTCAGATTTTCCCTGGGATTGCATCTCCCAAAATGTAAATTTAGCTGCAGGTAGTAAAAAGTCCAGTTGTAGCAGTTAATCTAATCTAGGATACAAGTCTACCTCCTTAATGACTATGCCAATAATGCCATTTTGAACTGCTTGATACCTTCTTAGTTGACTCAAAACTCATGGGATAGGGATAGATCATGATCATGACCCCAAGTCCACACTGACAAAGTACAACACTACATGCATCGAGTAAGGCAAGTCTTCATTCCTCGCTAGGAACTATTATGAGTCTTAGTTACCTAATTTTATCTATGCACACAGGGAACTGCTTTTCCAGCACTCCATCATAGAAGGACACGTCCAGATTCAAACCTCAGCTTGGACACAGGACAATTCTATTTAGGCAAATGGATTTCCCAAGCCTGTATATACACAGATCCTTCTCAAGACTTTTCAGAGAACAAAAAATCCATTCTTGTCCATTTCCAGAAGGTAAGAACAGGGCATTTCATCCTGACAAGACTATTTCAAGTTTGAATTCTGAACAATTCGTGAATCAGACTCACATCAAAATACACCAGTACAAAAGTAAGCAAAAGATGGCAGAATTAGAACACAGAGCAAATTATCAGGGCCACTGTCCATGACAGTGGCTACTAACCTGGGACTCCAACAATATCTGGCACCAGGCATCAAACAACTCAAGAGTCATCCTCATTCTTTTAGTGTGTGGCAATAGAAGAAGAGCAGCCTATTACAGCCAGCCCCACAACCCACTCTTGTTTAAGAAGGAGAACTCAGCTCCTTGATAGTTTTTTTAGAGAATAAGCTTGAACCCTGAGAGTGGATGAGAAGCTGAAATGGGTGAGGCAGGGCACTGACCAATATCGAAAAGCTCAGAGACAGGCCTCTGACCAAAATAAGAATGTTCTACTCATGCCAGAGTGAATGCAGCCTGAAGCTGGGTATTTCCCACTCTGGAGAGTTTTCTGTCATGAGGTAGCACAGGATTAAAGATCCCTCCCACTGTTGAAAATCTAAAGAAGGAAAAAAAAAAATCTCTTTGAGCTGGTGGAAAGAAAGTTCTAGTACATCACAAAGTGTTCCAGGGAAGGAAGTTGTGATTGGAGGTGGAGATGGGTGACTTTGGAATGTAGAATTGCTAACTTGATTTTTGTTCAATTCTTAAATTTTTAATATTTTTAGTCTGGCGCCTGTGATTTCATGAACTCAGAACTAGTAATACTATTAATATCACACATCTAGTCCAAAAAACCAAGCTCAAATATTTAACACCATGACCTTCAAAGCTAGAGAGGAGATGAATGCTAGAGAAAGAAATCCTTTCCTTGCCATGTTTTTTTGAATCTGTTGAATTTGTAGATTTTATAGTAGACAAATTAAGTCTATGTTACTGAAATGAGAGTGGGGAAGGGCATGACAAATTAATCATGAATTCTATTGGGCATTACACAGAATAGAGCACAGATAAGATTTAAAGAATATGTTCCAGTCTCTATAAACCTAAGGTACCAGAGATTCCAGTGCAAAGGAACCAATCACTAACCAAAGAGATGGGAGAAAAGTTATGAGATCTTTCTCAGGCTGGATTTCATAAGCTCGTCATACCAGTTTCTGCAGGAATGTAGGAATTATTGCAAAATGGTTAGGTTCTACAAACATATCATCAAAGCTTCACTGTACATAGAAAAAAAATGTTTCAAAAAAATTTTTTTAAATAATCCATCTTTTTAAATGCCTTAACTTATTCTTCTTTGTATGAAAAGGAGGAAATCTACCAGCTCACCTGTGTCAAACCCCACACTTGGCACTATGTCCACTGTTCCATGAAAGGCTCCGGCCCACGCTGAGGTAGCAGTGGTGACTGTAGTCGGATCTGTCTTTGTGATGTCACACTGGGGAGCAGGAATCCTGGCCGCTCGCACTGATGGCATCAGCAGGGGCCCATATGAGGGATCCAGGGCAGAGCCAGCAGCAGGGTGGTGGTGGTGGTGGTGATGGTGGTGGTGACGGTGGTGCATGTGGGCATGGGGGTGGTGGTGCCGCATGTACACGTCATGCATGTGGCTGTAGGATGGGCTCACCTGAGATGCCAAGGGATAATGCCAGGACTCAGACACTGGCGGGGGAGGGGCTGGGCCAGTCTGATGCAGGCCATGTCCTGGCCAGGGGCTGGGCTCTGCAGCAGTAAAGGTGCCAGGGGGTGCAGTGACCTGGAAGTCGGGATGAACTCCCCCCAAACAGGGTGCAGGTGGGGGCTGGTAGGAGCTGGTCCAAAAGGAAGTTGGAAAACTACTCCGTGGGCTTGAGAGAGCTGAGCTGTCTGAGAAGACAGAAAACACATTATTTACATAAGATTCAATTCTGGGATAGACTTGCCTTTACTTGTCCAATAATGTTTCACAAGCAGGTGAATCAGCATGCACTCTTCCTCTCCCCACACAGGGGTGAACTGATATAAAATGTTGGCCTGTGGGCTCCCGTGCCAAGACAATGGGCAGGATTCAAAGTGCTGAATACCCCCTTCACCCCCAGCATTTGCTTTCTTAGTTTGTGCTGTGGCAGTCTGTGCTGAGGCTTGCAGTTTGGGGATTGAAAAGCTTCATTTCCTCTTGGGAGGTTTGGTGCCTTTAGGCCTGAGCTCAGGTCATGGCTACACTCTTCCTGTAAAGAAAACTTGTGCCATAGATGAGTCATGTATGGATTGAAAATAATCATTTTGACCAACTTCTTTTAAACACAAATATATATTTTTCACTCAAACCAAACATTCCAACTCAAAAAGTAACAAATGTAAGTATGATTACATTTTACTGTGCTCTCTATTTAATTTTCCTTTAAGAAAAGTATATTCCTGGGGCTAGGGTTTTGGCTCAGTGATAGCATGTGTGAATCAATTTTCCCTTTGGTGTTGGGATCAATTCTCAGCACTTCAGGTAAATAAAAGAATAAAATAAAGGTCCATCAACATCTAAAATAATATTTCAAAAAAAAAGTGTGTGGGGGGGAGTGTCTTCCAACCTCTTTTTACCCCCTGTACAGAACTGGGAGTCTTTCAATTGTGATAATAATGGTTAACATTTAATGAGAGTAACCAAATACCCAACACTAGGTCAAGTGGTTTGCATGGATGATCCCATAAGATCCTCACTCTAGTCCTATGAGACCGTTATTTTATTATGGACATTTTAGAGGCAGAGAAACCAAAGATTTACAATGGCAAGCACAAAGCTGGGCTTTGAAGCTAAGATATCTGTCTTTATTTTATTATTTTATTTGTAGTGCTAGGGTTTGAACCCAGGGTCTTGTGCATGTGAGACAATCACTCTACCAACTGAGCTATATCCCCAGCCCAAGACATTTGTCTTAAGAATCAACAGCTGGCATGCTTCATAATATGCTGCAAAAAGAGATAATTATAACTACAACCTGAACATCTGGAATTTGTTGAAAAATCTAAGTAGAGTTCATGGGTGTAAGGAGGTGTTTGAAAGAGAAGATAATATCAAAGAACACCAAAGAGAGGGGGACTCTTCCTCTAACTCTGCATCAGTCCAGTGGCTCAACTGTCATGACCTATTTCTGAATGACCTAACCTAGTGTATGCCAAACATAAAGGGGTCAGGAATGACTAGACAAATGTAATTTTCAATCACCATTTGGAGGGGGACAATAAGTCAAAATGCATAAGCAAAAAGACATGGCAGGCATTCTCACAAGAGGAAGCCAAGAGAAAGAACACCGAACCAATCTAATAAAGTGGAAACCCAGTCTATGTTGAAAGGTTGAGAGGAAGCTAGTTTTGTGAAGAGGTAGGACAAAGCATTTTAAGACAATGAAAAAGCACATGAACAAAGACCACTTATCACATACACATGCACACAGCAGCAGTTGTAATAGCAATACTGAAGGGAAAATGAGATCAACAGGCAGAATTTGAAAAAAAGAAAGATACTACAGAAATATGAAGGACCCAGATGAGTGTTCTATGAATTATTCCTAACTACTGATACAGATTGTCAAAAATATTAGTTATGCATGTATAATAAGGTAGTATTTTCATACTGGGTTCCACATAAGAGAACCTTCTAGATCATTCCACTGAAGAAAGGATATCCAAAGTACTCTGAAAATTAAAAGTATCCAAAATATAATGTGTTTATGGTCTCACTTCATTAATTTACAGAACTTTTTTTTTTTTTCCTGCATCAGGGAAATAACTTGAATTAACCACTCTATATATCATGAGGTGAATATAATTAGGCTATCACCATCATGTTCAAGCATTTTCTCCAACTTCCCTGAAGACACTGGCACCAGCAGTGCAAGCACTTCTACTCTCTTCCCTGCAGCCATCATGTGCTCCATTTATCCTGTGAATAAACAGCCATTTAGAGTCTCATTGTCAAGCATATCCATCACAGCACCATGACGGTTCTGAAAGCTTTGAGGAAACTTTTGTTCTTCAAAAGGCAAAGGATGGAGCTGCACAATTGTCAAGTCTTCCCACCTTTCCAGGAAACCTAATGGAATGACTGTGCTTTGTCACAATCTATTCAAAAGATCCCACGTAAAAATCAAACTCACTGGCATTGCGACAAATACACTTCATTTAATAATTGTTTCCAATTATGAAAAATGCTGCTAATGAAGTCAGGTGCAGTGTTGCATGCCTGTAATTCCAGTGGCTGGGGAGGCTGAGGCAGAAGGATCATGAGTTTGAAGCCAGCCTCAGCAAAAGTGAGGCATTAAGCAGCTCAGTGAGAACCTGTTTCTAAAAAAAAAAAAAAAAAGACAAAATAGGGCTGGGGATTTGGCTCAGTGGTCAAGTGCCCCTGAATTCAATACCCAGTACCCCCCCAAAAAATGTTGCTGATGAAACAAAGGACAGTTATATAAATTATGAGAAGAAAATACAATTTGCCTTAAGGGATGGCCATTTGTAGAATATTTTTGTCACATCTACAATGAAAGCCACTAGTATTTAAAATCTACACAGGGAATTTATAGATATTCTCTAAATTACATAATGCAGCTTTTGCCACCATCAATCTGTCATTTTGCTGTAGCAATTCCCATCTTTAGGACCAAATCACTCTACTCTCAAGCTTTATCTCTTGGTGTGCCAGAATCCTCACTCCAGCTCACAAATATGTGCCACAGATAGAGTTCCCTTGAATAAAGTAGCCTATCAAAATTCAAAATTACAGAGTGTAGACTGTTTCTCTGGTTGCTTTCCTTTTGTTTATTCTCATTTATATGGACATGGAACCAATCTTATTTTATACATGCCTAAACATTTTGGATATACATACACAAATGTGAATAATGAACTAATTCCCTACCAAAATATCATTGTCTTATTTATAAAGTATCAGGTTGTGATTAGTGTACTCATTATTATTGAAGGAAGACATTTATTTTTACAAATACACTCCTTAAAGATTAAACAAAGTACTAAAATGTCCAGGGAGGAAAAAAAAACAAAAGCAACTTAATATATTCCCAATCAGTATGTCTCCTGAGATCAATATAAAGTTTACAAAGATCTATGCAGCCTTTTTCAAAAACACTGTTGCATTTTACAAGTAAGCGAAACAATATTGAATGGAAAATATGTGTATGAAAAAAAATGCACTTCAGAATCACTATTTGCTATCTTTTTTAAAGAAAAAAATCTTGACACAAAGAAACAGATGATATGCTTTGTTTCATGCTGGAGAATCATTGTGCTTATTTCATATGTATGTAAATTTTTTTCATTACATGACTCTTTGCTTATGAGTACTTAATCACAGCCACATTTGTTGGATGAAAAAGCATATGAAAAACAGCACGAGCTATTTCTGTGCCATATTACTTTTCAGGTTAGTGGAGACAATTCAAAACTGCATGATATTAACACTCTCTGGTGACTTTGGATTCAATATTATTCAATATTTGGGTGATATTAAACAATATTTGAATGATGTTAACACTGATAGCCTAACACATATGAAAAGCCAAAAGATAATTTGGTTCACTTTGCATTTGGAATTTAAGAATCCCCACCCCGTCCCTCTCTTTCACACAAACACACACACACACACACACACACACACACACCACAGTTTATTTCTAAACAAAAAAATAAAATGATGAAATTGATATATTTTTATTCAGTGCAACCAACCCAAAGCATACTAAGTAAATCTATCTGATTCCAACCAGAAATGTATCTTAGAAAACCTAAGGAGTTTCTTACAGTATTTCCTCCAGTTTAATAGCTGTGATGCTATTTATAGTAACCCCAATTGTTTCTTAAAAGAAAGCAAAATACTAATGATAAAAAATTGAAGAGAAAATTCAAATTTTAATTTAAAGAATTTAAAAAATATTACTTAATTTTGAAAACTATATTGAAAGACAAAATGAGATAATGAAATGCTATAGGACCTCTATCTTAAGTCATCTTAATAATCTCCAGAAAACACATTCTTAGAATAAATATTGATTAAATACATCAGTGTTAAATGATAATATTTATCAGCTTAATCTCAGTAAAGAAAAAAAAATCAGCTCAATCAATCATTTTTAACCTAAAGGGATCCTGATAAAATCCAAGTGCCACTCTCTTGTTCAGCTTCTCATGTACACAAACTGTCAGGTCAGAGGTGAAATGAAACATGTTTCAACATTTTCTGTCATTCAGGAATTATGCATTACCATTATGTTAAAAGATTGTCCTCTAGTTACTTTGTTGCACAGTTACTCAAAATGGGCCCCGTGACTCTACAATGAGAGTTTTAAAGAGTGACATCAGGTGCCCATATCCTTGGGGGCAGAAGAATGAGGTAAGTCAAGCCTTGCTTCCTTCTCACGTGTTCCTCCTAAACTTCCTGAAAGCAACAACCTCCAGAGCCTCCTGGACATTCTGCTCAACTCTGTCCTTTCTAGCCAGGCTGTTCCTGAGATATGCCTTCCTCGTCCTTTTTTCCAAAACTGAGTTGCCCCAAGCACACCCTATGTAGCTCAACTAACCAAAAGATAGTGGCTTTGCAACTACAAGAAAAGGAGAACAAAACACCAATAAGTTTTCCATTCAGCACAGTTTTAAATATGTGACGTACTCTGCCATCATTTGATTTGTTACTCATTTCTACACACAATCTCTCTCTCTCACTCTCTCTCTCTCTCTCTGTGTGTGTGTGTGTGTATAAATTAATGCACAGACATATTCAAAGCCAATGTTTTTATTTGGATGGGGATAAGGTTACAATCAGATCATTATGTTTTCTTAACTGAAAATCTCTAATTCCTGATAAAAAGTATAGTGAGATTGGAATTAATTGATGAGATGATTTGTGAAATAATGTACAAATATTTTCTCTAATTAGTTTAAGTACAAAACACATAAAGTACTCTATCTTCATTAGAAGATATACATTCAAATTATGGCTGTTGTTTGATTGTCACCTGACTTTTTTCATCTAATATGGAATATCTTTTGTAGTCAGACATAATTCAGTTGTAGCACTGTAGTATGTCTGAAGCATTGCAATAACTCCATGATATAAACTAGACCCTTTAACAGAGCTGGTCAGCAGCTCCTTTGTAAAGTGTCATAGTCACTACTATTAACATGATCAATAGCCTTTAGCACCTATTATGTCCAAAACACTTTGCTTTGTGCCAGAAATATAAACTTTCAGAAAACAACACTTCTGGATAAAAACTCAAGATTGGTTTTCTACTTACCAAATGAGTGGAAACTTACTTAAGGAAAAGAGAAATGTCATCTGACTTTCATTGAATGCCTTGATTCAAGCTCTGTGCTGAATTACTCATATACATTATCACAAAATCTTTACAATAACCCTAGGACTTGAGTATCAATAAACACATATTACAATTGAGGAAGTTGATCTCAGAGAGATTTTAAGTTATTAATCCAAGATCGCATTACAACCAGAAACTAATAAGGTTTGGACTTGACTCCAAAATAAATAGGCTCCAAAGACTGCATTTTTCAACTTTGTGTAGTTTTCTCAATTAATATTAAATTCTTGCTGGCACACGCTACAATCCCAGCTACTCAGGAGGCTGAGGTACAAGGATCAGAAGCTTAAGGCCAGCCTGGGCAACTCAGAAAGAACCTGTCTCCAAATAAAAAAGGTCTGGGGATGTAGCTCACTGGCAGAGCACTCCTGGGTTCAGTCTCCACTACTGAAAAAAAAAATGTCACTAACTATCTCCATCAGATATGTGAATCTCATTTTATTTTATCTTCTCTTTAATTTTCTGTATCTTCAATTACATTTTGGGGCTCTCCTATGAATCCTACCCAGCTTTTTATGTTTATTTAAAATTGACTAATTCAGAACTAGAAACAACCAAGGTAAACTTCTGTTCACAAATGGAAAGTAAATCATGCATCTGAAATCAAAGAATTTTACAGAACAAAAGATTTTCACAATTACTTAATTCACCGCCTTATCTTATAAACAAGAAAAGTGTATCCAAAGGTTTCATACAACTTATTGCAATATTTGTTTCTCTACTGAAGTCTTGTTTTCAAATCCTGAGAACATAGTATAAATTTGGTTCCCTTAATTCAGTCATTCAATTATTTAATTTATATTTATTTTGGAGTTTCCTCATAGAAATGCATTATCTTGAGCATCAGGAAAAATGATGTGAGATAACTAGGTGTGATATTCGTAAACCTAGTGGGAAAGAGATTAAAAAGCTCTAAAATATATGCTCTACACTACCACTTTTCCCTTCTCTCCACATACACAAAGACTTTTGCTTCTCATTGCCCATGCTAGAGTCAATCTTCTGAGTCTTTGCACTAGCAGTTCCTTTTGTGTAGAATTATTTCCCCCTAAATAGTCACATGATGAATCCTTATTTCTTTCAGGTCTCTGTCCAAATGTAACTGTTTCAGACAGAGCTTCCATTATGGCCTGCAGTAAAGTAAGACGTTGCATGACATTTTTTTCTTTATTACCTGTTGCTAACACTGAAATATAAGCTCCACGAGTGTGGGGCTTCAGGCTGTCTCATATAGTCCCAGTACCAAGAACATCAACTAGATATGCTAGGAGCTTGATAAATATTTGTTGAATAAGTCAATGAATGAAACTGGAGATAGATTTGAAGACTGAATTGAAGATTATGCCAAGAAAATTCTAATTATGGTATTAAAATATTACCATTATTCACCCTTTGTATACTAAAAGGTGCCATCAGAGGTTTTCTCTAAATGTTTCAATGAGTCATGAAAATGTTATAGAGTTTTTTGCACAGAATACAACAACCCCTTTAAAACGTTTCTGGCTATGATACTATAGACAATTTCTCTAGACAATTTGGTACCCTTTTGGTTTTGAGTTTAAATGATTACAGGCTTTATATGCCAATAAACTTAAAGTAGTAGATATTGCAATAATTATTCTCCTGGAACTGATTAACCTGATAAGATTTCTTATTGATGCATCAAATTGTTTACTAAATAATCTGATTCACAGAAACATTCTAATTTTCACCCTCTAAAAATTATTTACCATGTGCTATCAAATAAGACATTGATTGATATCATAAGTGTCTTAGGTTTTCCAAGGACTGTTTTAGTTCCTGTAAGAAATCCATAGTATTTACTAATCAAATAAGCAGGATGTTTCCCAATTCACTTCTACTGAATCTTGGTATCTGAGTGTAATCCACCTTCCCCTATAGTCATGACAGAATAGTTTATATTTGCTAGAAAAAAAAAATAAGGAGGAAAAAGGGGAAAGGAAGGAGGGAAAGAGGAAAAGGTAAGAGGAGAGGAAGGAAAGAAGAGAGGGATGGAGGAAAGCAAGAAGAGTGAAAGAAGAAGGGTAGAAGAAAAGGAGGGAGGGAAGGAGGAAGAATGGGCAAGAATTAAAAAGGGGGAAGAAGGGAAGGGAGAAAAGCCCTGTATCTACAGATCTACAGATCAGGCTCAGCGATTCCAGGCCAGTTCTCTGGCTGTAATAGAGCAAAACCATTCCTCCGACATTGAGAAAGATATCAGTTACCTCTCACTTGACCTGCTTGCAAATGGCCAGCCTGTCCTTATCATGGGAATCACTCAAGACACTTGTTAAAATGTGATTCCCCATGTCTTCTTCCAGAAACTACTATGCTTCAATAGACTTGAGGGAAGTGGCCTTTGATTTGTTTTCAACAACACTAAATCAATGATTACCAAATTTGAGTTTGCCTCTCAATCACTGGGCATATTGGCTGAACACAAGTGGACATTATCCCAGAGTTTCTGATTTAGTAGATTGGGGGATGGGGTGGATAATTTACATTTCTAACAAGCTCCTTGTGATGTTCAGGGTTCTGATCAGGAACTTTGAGATCCATTTTATATGCACTTCTCATAACCAGGTGAATTTGTAAGAAACATCTGTACCACATTTCTCTGAAGCTACCATTGGATTGATGCATTATATTTTTCTAACCTTGTAATTACCATGAAAATGTCACCCAGTGATTTTTTTTTTTTGTTAGAAATCAGATTCAAATAAATCTCTGTGTCCTCCAGTATAGAAGAAAATGAGAAGATGCTCAATCTGCACCGTTTTCTTTATTATGGTGAAACATCACTTTATATCATAGAAATGCTGCCAACAATGCCTAGCTGTACACTTTAAAGAGTTAATCCAAAATCGGCTGAAAAGCAAGCTATGGAGAGAACACAGACTGTGTCCCTGGGTCAGACTCAAATCTCCACTATGTCACCACGAAACACCTACAGGAATGGGCAATAGCTAGCTTTTTTTAGAAGAGATTCCGGCACGCCTATTATTTAGAGATCCAAAATTGGGCCATCGGGGCTTCAGGAATGGTGCTTTGCTTTTTGATTCGGCCACTATAAACTCAGGCCGGTTGCATTGCTACTTTCCATGAGGAATTTAAGGGGTGTGACTGCATCCTTTCCAACCCTGCATTCCACATGTGACAAAACTGATCCAGCTGTTTGTCTGAAAGAAATTCCTTGCTGTCCTTAAAAATTAAAAAGCAAGTGATATCCGTCCTCCAGAGGCAAGTCTCCAGCTGGAACCTGGTACAGGCAGTTGCGAAACAGAGACAGTGCCCTGGAGAGCATCTGCTTTTGAATTCTTACCTCGCCATAGGGGGGTTAGCCCCATCTTGCTTTTTGAAATGGCAGATTCTGGATGGAAGGTGCTGGCTTGGCCCAAAGCTCTTGAGAAGTGTTCATCCACTACTGACCCAATGTCTCCCTGGAAATAAGTGAAAAGGACACAGCGAGAGTTAAGGTACTCCATCTCGGCAGGCTGGTCTTTCTCCTCCTCCTCCTCCTCATCCTCCTCCTCCTCCTCCTCCTCTTGTTTGCTGGGAAGGGTGACTTCCAGAGAGTCCTGCATCTTGCTGTATACCGCTAACTTCTTCTGGGATGGAATAAACAAAACACAGTATCAAAGACCATTTGTAAAAAAGCATTAACCAGTTAACTTTTCACTTAAAAAAAAAAGAATCTAAATATTAACATATGTTTGCAAATTGATTCTTCTTCATCTGCTTTATTCCATCTTTTCCCTCCCCAAACCAATTGCCTCCTTCCCACACTAAAAAAAAAAAAAAAAAATCTACTATTCCAAATCAGTTAAAGGAAAAAAAAAAGCCATTTTAAAATTGTATATTTTCAGTGTCAGAATTTCATTTTTGTTTGTTTTTCTTTAAGTTAGTTGTACTACAAAAGATAATAATTTTTTAAAAAAAGTGACAGATTCCTTCTATTTTTTCTTCCCACTTTTGATTGACTTTTAAAGATGTAATCTTCAGTAGCATTATAGTTTAAAACAGGGAAGAACAGTGGATAGGAGATCTAACTTACTCAGGGCACGATGGAGAAGAAAAGAGCTTTTCATAAACGAAATAAACTAAAATAAAAACAGGAATGTAGCATCTTATAAAAGGATTTGGCAGATGTGCTGAACTCATTTCTCAAAAATCAAACTAAAATGACAAAATAAGTCTGTGTGAAGATCCATTTTGCATGGAACATATTTTTCAGATGTTCCACTTACCGCCATTACATAGAGAGAAAAAAAAGATTTTATTGTGGCTTACTGAAAATAATACAAAATGCTGGAAAGGACTAACTTTCCAAATAAAAATGAGAAAAGCCTGATAATTTAAAAAATATTTTGAAATATATGATCATAACACCAATAACAATTAATACATATTAAGCCAGGTACTCTTCTAAAAACCTTGTGTTTAGTTCCTCATTTAATCTTGACAATTCTGTTACATGGTTATTATTAGTATCTGTATCTTAGAGAAAAGACATTAAGGCATAGAGAAGTTAAGTGACTTCTCAAAAATCACAGAGCATGTTAGTGATGGAGGCAAAATGCATAATAAAACATCGGGGAGAGATGTGCATGCATATGCATTGCAGGGAACAGGAGAGGAATATCTAGGGTGGAAGAAAAGTCACCAATATGTTGTATTTGGTATTGTTTCTTTGAACAGTAAGCTGTAGTTTATTTTTTTATTCTTGCATTTTGATATTTCCACATATTTTTTTCACTGAGCATGTATTATTTGTATTATCAACTACTTCAATATGAATTAAATATACACTGTATTGTTAAAGCTTATAAAATGCATTATTTCAGTGACCAAATAATCATCTGCTTATTTGTAAAACCCCATCCCTTCTCATATCATTTTTCTTATTTCAGGAAAAAAGAAAAAAACAACGAACAACAACAACAACAAAAAAAAACACATGCTAGAAAATGAGTGTGAATAGACAAAACTAAACTAAATCATTACAAAATACTACTCATTAGTTCTGCAAATGTTACCAAAACACGTAACCTAGATTCTATGTTTCTAATGTAATTACTAGATTCAAAATCCATAGCACCAAACTATAAATGATGTTCTTTTGTGAGGCGGGTCCTGGATGTTTAAACACATTGTGAGGTGTGGTTATTAGGTTGGGGCTCTTATTTACACAATATATGTGTTGCTTTTAATTTAAACTTTGTGTCATTGTGGTATCATTTGTTAATGAATAGATAATGAATAGCTAATTGCAAAGACTGCCTGATATATTTCTTATAATCTATTTTTGCACAGATTTAAGCCTGTTTAATTTTACTTGAATGGTTAAAACAACATAATAACATAGATTATGTATAAAAGGAGGGGGTTAAACTAAATCAGCTCTAAAGTTAGTCCTAGTTTCAAATTCCATTAAAAAATTAAACAGATATTGTGATCAATTAGTCAAACCACAGTGCTGTTTCCTAGTGTGTAGATATATATTTATTCAAAGCATGCTTTGTTGAAGGATATGCACACACTTTTTCTTGAAGAGTCTGGCATACTAGAAAGAAGCACTACATTTTTATGGAAGGGATATTAAAACTGATCTACAAAGCAGCTTCACTGTCCATAGTGTTCATTATAATCTGTGAAACTGATTCTCAGCACAATTTGTGAGAATCAGGCTATGCATATAAAAGGTTCACTTGTTTAATTCTAATATGTATTCTTCAAGTAAAATAGCCTTGGCTGTGTTAATTATCCAAATAAAGGCAAGAGTTTTTTTTTTTTTTACCCTCACTTATCAAGAATTAATTCTTAAGTGAAATAAATTTAAAGTTATATATACTGAAAACAAATTTGAAAACTGCATATCCTGATACAAATGTAAAATATTGTGATCAATAACAGGAATCATAAAATATTTTAATTTGTAATTGATGGCTGTTGAATTCAAGATACAGATTTTTCAATCTATTTAAGATTACATAATTTTCCAAATGCTGCACTAGTTTTGTGGGGTTTTTTTCTGTCAGTTATTGAATGACTGAATGCAAATAAATTAATGCTTGAACTCATATACTTTTCAATATACATGGGCGAAAAGTAAGCAAAATCTGCCCTTGTATCAAAACAGCTGTCACTCTAGTTTTTAAAAATCATTCTTCTGCTCATTCATGCATTGATTCTCTATATCCTTTATATTTCACACACATGTAATATCTCTGTTTATATTCTTATAAATATACATGTCAAAATACTTCATTTTGATATTGCAAACACTTGTGGTTCTAAAAAAAGGGAGCCTATGATGTTCCTATCAATAAGCAGTATTTAAGAATATTTATCATTCCCATCTGCACTTTTTTTACAATAAAGTGGATTAAATTTTCATAAAATATACAGAACCAATTTAAATATTTATATCTCCAAAACTCACATATTTATAGCCTCACAGTTAACATCACTGTTTAAAAGAAAAATTTCAAAGTATCCAAATGACCTGACAACTACCTGAAATGCTAAATATGAATTAGTATAAATTTTTTAACATTAATTGTGAGCATAAAGAATACAAAAACAAATTTTAAATAGAAATGAACTCATATGCTGACATTCACACCACACTAATTTTCTTCTTTATAGACTCTTGAGCTTAACTACTTTCTTATATCTGTGCTTTGGTGATTGTAAATCAATGATTTGCTTTTTTTTTTTTTTTAAATCCAGCATACTACTTGTGTGTGCTTTTGCCATACTCTGTATTCACCAATGTTTACTTTTTTGGAATGAAATTTCCCTAGAGTTACATTCTTTCTTGGGAATCATATGAAATGTAAAATATTGATATGGAATCTAATATGCACAGAACATAAACTTCCAAAATCAAATTAGAAATGTAATCCACTTATATTATTCCCCAAATACACAATCACTTCCTAATAACAACTCTATCTCATAAGTATTCATAATTCCCTCATAAGCCTCTGAAGAATTGTTAACAGAAATCAAGAAGATGTCAAAGGTGGCCTTAAAGACTACAATCACTTTACCTAATGCACATATATGTCTCACTGTCACTGCCTAGTAATGACAATATTTCCCCAGGTAATATTACTTTGGAGTTAGGTAAGGCAATGAATGGGTTAACTGACATACAGTGAAAGCTAACTCACAAAGGTGTAAAGCAGGAGAGTGAAGGAGAGTTGGCCCAGGCAGTGCAAGCCTTAGCCACCACCTCAATGCCTGCCATTAGGCACAACAGAAACAAACTGCAGCAGGAATGTGCAGGGGAAAGGATTTGTCTGACAAGAGAAAGACTTCCATGTCAGGAGCCAAATACCACTAACTCCCCAAGGCTTAAGCCTGCAAAATGCCAAATGATTACTGTGCATATGTGGAAACTTTTTTTCCTAAGGAAACAAAAGTATTTTAATGAATCACTGCAATCATTGGATATTTAGAAATAGCTTTTTCTTTTTCCTTCCTTTCTTATTTTTTAAAAATTTCTTCTACTAGCTATCTTCTTTAAATGCAAGGATTTGGGGGGGTTCAAAAACATGAGCAGTGCTTTTAGAAAGAACCATTGGCTTTTAGTAAATGTTTCAAAACTGTGAAGCTCGTAAGAGCAGCACATTGCTCCTTCATCATTTTTTTTTTAATTTACTTTAATAACAGAGTTCTAAAAATATCTCAGAGAGACTTGAGCTTTGAGATCTTCACCTGTTTGGAGGTGAATGGATCAGGAAATGCAAGGTTGGGTTAGGTTAGTAGAAACATGCCATAGACCTTTTATACATTTTATTTCATTTAATATCTCACTCTCACATGCAGAAATATTTTGCCAGAATTCCCAATTTACATATGCAAAATCTGGCTAATTTAGCCAGGATCATCCAAGTAATAAGAGGCAGACATGGGATTAGAACCTATTTCTGTATTAATACAAATCATGCGCTAGGAAAACAGATTGGAGAAGGTGAGTCTCAATAACATAACTTATTTTGATGGAATAAACAAACATAATTCCACGGTCAATATGGCATTGCATGACAACTAGGATAGTCTAATGTTATTTATAGCATTAAAAATTACATTATAAAAAGGGATATAGTTATTAAGTAATGCAATGCTCTTAAATATATATGCAAGTCTGGATGAAATGTAGTGTCTAAAAATGTACTGTCTCCTTGGTAATCGGACACATAATCCACTGGTCTACAATTTTTCTGGAAATCCTATTTTGGAAATGTGAGAAGAGTCAACTTATAAGAAACAATCACCTCAAGATCCTCTGTTTTTTATTTATTTTTCTTAATCTGAAATGCTATTACTTAGCATAACGAGCTACTTTTGAGCACTGTGCCTCTAAATGATTCTGGTTATTATCAAAACTCCAACCTCCAAAGATGAAAACTTTTCCATTTTTATGATGTTCAAAAAAATGTGCCACAGGCTTAGAAGCAATTTCAAAATTTGCATTCCCAAAATGTTTTAAGCAATGATCACATCATTAGGGTATGTGTTTTTTCTCAAACCAACTACTTTGAATGAAACAACAGTTTCCATGTATAAATTTCTGGTATGTTTTTTATAATCCTTTGTC